TCTCAAAAATCAAAAACCAAAAATGACTCTACACATTATTTTAAAGGAAATTTTGGTGAATTAACAATAAAAAATAATTGATTTTCAATAAAACATGGTTAGTTAATTTTTAAACATGTGAAAAATAATTTTTATCAAGATTTTAAATGTTAAGAATATTTTTATGAATTTTAAGAAAACTTATTTAAGATGAAACATTTATATATATTCACTATTGAAACTACATAAATAGACTGATCTACTCATAAAAAAATAGGAAAAATCTTTGTAGCTTAACATTTTTAGACCTAGGCAACAACATTTGTCAGGAAAAAAAAAGGTGAAAAATATTGATTTATCAATTTAGAAAGGGGTTCGGTTCTGCTTATAATATCGATAGTATCAAATCGATCCTTGATTTTTACAATTCAGGCTTAAGTTGAGATGACACAAAGTAGAAAAAGGTATAAATAACGAATTTCACTGAACATGTTGCTTTCATCTTCTTCAGGTCAGAATGAAAGACAAAATTGTGTGTAAAAAATGCAGTGGGATCTCTGGGGATAAGAGAGGATTAAAGATTAAATTATCTTATCACATCTGAAAACTAGAAACCAGAAAGTTATTTACATTTATCTGACTGAATGTCCGAGAAATTTCATAGTAAATATGTATCCTCTGACAGGAATCAACTCTGTATCCTACACAGAACCTTCATTTGGCTTGACATGTTATACCATTTAGCTAAAGAGGAAGCATCTGGTTACCAAATTCAAATTTGTTTTTAAACAACAAATTTCCCATTTTTCTCCAACAATAATATCTGCTCAAAGTGTATCTTAATGTAAACAAATGACATCATATATTATGAAATGTATTAATTTCGACAATTTTTTTAATATATTTTCTGTTTATACATTATTTTTATAGACTTTGCAAACCAGACGCTTATCTTTTTTGGACATTCAAATGGTATAGTTATAAACAGAGCATTTACTTAAATATTTGTATCTATAAAATAACATATATACAAAAATATACAAAATAAATGTTGGACTTAGTCCATCCGTCATATATATATATATATATATATATATATATCAATTCTTGTCATTAAATAATAGAAAAGGACATATTTATTTTATGTAAAATCTTTACATAACATCTGATAAGCTTAATTTTATGGAATCATTCAAAGGTAAATTAAAGGTCAATGTGCTGTGTGATTTTTTTTGCTTCTAGCATCTTATATGCACATGTTTATTGTTGCTATGCTATAATCCATGTAAACAATCACAGACTATCATCACTGTTTGTCCGTATATTGCTTAATAAACAGTAGACATCTTTGACAACGGCTTATGTAAGCCAAAAGCTTAGATTGGATTAAAAAATATTTATATCTATAAAAATAATGTTATTAAACATTTATCAGACGTTATGTATACAAAAATAAATTCTAAAAATAAATGTATGAATGAAAAAATAGCAATTATATATATATATATATATATATATATATATATATATATATATATATACATACATGTTTCATTAAATAATAATTAAAAAGTGTTTTCTGCAGTCTATTTATTTTTTAAAAGATTCAAGAAATAAAATTAAATATGAATGCAGTAAAATACATAACATCTGAACAGCACATCCTAAAATTTTCATATGTAATTATATTTTAATAAATTATCCGTATTATATATATATATATATATATATATATATATATATATATATATATATATTTTTCTCTCTAGCAGACTTTATTCATATTTGCTTTCAAAACCTTTATGTCCACTTTCTCTCTTCTCTATATATATATATATATAAATAAATCCTAAAAACAACCTACCTAGGTTTCACCTAAATGGATCCTCAGGGTAATCTGGCCTAAAAAAACCTAGGTAGGTTGTTCCTGGCTCTTTAGGATTTATTTTATTTATCCCAGCTCTACTTAGCGTATTGAGCACTCTACATTTTAGCTTTGTTAAATTTGAAAAGGCATTATTTGTTTCGCCCTGTTTGGATGTTTCTAGCTCTTCTTTTTGCAATTTTTCTCTCGGGTACCAATTTGTTTTGATATACTTACAAGATGTGCTAAAGTTTTTTTACCAACTGAAAATATTAATATATATATATATATATATTATATATATCTATATATATATTATTAATATTTTTCGCGGAGATGAAATGAAAAATGCCACAAACTTAAAGAAAATAAAGTATTATCGTCAAAATTTTATGTTATTATTTAGATGAAAGAAAAAGTATTTTTTAATTATTTTTGAAATTTTTAATATTTTCTAACACGTTCGAAATTTTGGTTAAAATCGTCTTTGTTTACGTTATCGCGGCGACGTTTAAAATAACATTGTTTTTTTTTGCGTTTTTTTACCGTTGAAAACATATTGATTTGGAAATTCTTGTAAAAATAAAATAATTGTCCGATCTTAATGAAATTTTCAGGACTTATTCACAAATCAATGAAATTATTTTTGAAATATTTTTTTTTAGAAAATTTTGGTAAAAATTATATTTTTTTAAAATATGTTACCCCACATTTACTTAATTTAATGAAATTTCGCCCAAAAACCTTTTGGTTCCTGAATTTTTTTTTTTTTGTTAAAAGTAGGAGTCTTCGAAGATGGTAAATAACCTACTTTTTTTTTTTTTTCAAATTTGAGCTATTTAACTGAAAATCTGCTCTGAATTGAAAAATAATGAATCCAATAAAACTATGATATTACTTAATTAGAAAAGCTTTTAATTGCTTTTGTAAATAATTAATATTAAGGACATTATTGTCTGAAGAAATAATTTTTTTCTGATGAATAATTAATTTTTACAAGAATTTTTTCGCTTTTTAAGAAATTTTAATTATAATTATTTATAATAGTTTTAAATCGTGTAAAGCTCTGTATTAGGAAGGTTCCTCAATATTTAATTAAGTAGAAATAAAATTTACGAATCCAAAATTGCTAAGTTTAATAAATTTGGTTGCACTACTTTTTTAAAAAATAATTTTTGTATTTTGTAATATGTTGTATTTTTTTTACTTAATACATTCCTTATTTCCATGTATGATATACAGAAATTGTCATTATTATAACAAGGTCACGTGATCTAAGGGTTTTGTCCCTTTACGTGGCCTTTTCAAAACATTTCGTTTCTTACAGATTGTATTTTCCGTTCAGCTTTAAAAGTGTAAACTTTAAATTTTAAATTATTTTTTCTTTTTTTCATTTACTATTTCAGTAAATAATTTTATTTTATGTATTGTATTTCCATTAGTGTGTGTCATACTCAAATAGAATAATTTTTTTAAAAACTCAGACTTAAAAATTATTTCATTTATGGTCATCAGTAGTAGCTGTCATCGGCTCGTCAATCAACCATCATCAATAAGATCGAACAGATGAACAGGACCGCTCGTTAATAATTGGTTGTATATTATTTTTTTATGCTATAAGTAACAAAGATTTCTTTGAAATCAGATTACTTTAACTTTAAATTTTTTAATTTTACTAACGTGTCAGAATTTATTTTAAATATTTTAAAAATCGATAAATTTGTGTTTGTTTACAAATTTCTTAAAATTTTAAGAAAATGGCCGTTTTAAGAAAATTTAAAAATTTGAAATTAAATTTGACAATATTCAAATGTATATAGTTTCTATCTGAAATACACCAGAATTGTTTAATTAATAGAAATCGTAAATTTAATTATTAAACTTTCAATTAAAGCTAAAATGAAATCTTCAAGAATGTTTTTTTTGTAAAAAATTCATTTTAAACTTCAATATAGAAAATTTATGCCGAAATAGTGGAGGTACTTACTTATAGAGAGAGAGAGAGAGAAAGAGAGAGGGGGGCGTTGGAGTCTGTTGGATTTTAAATGAATCCATCAAAACAAGAAAGTGTTTTATTTTTTAACAGGCATAGCGGTTCAGTGTTCAGCGGGTAACTGCATCCGAAAACAGACATTTTGAGGTGACGATTACAAAAAAACAAATAAGGCCAATAACTCTGTAAAAGTTCGGGATCGATTTGGTCCCCACTTCTAAATCGATAACAAATCGATATTCTTCGATTGCAGCCTAACTTAGGTCCGAAGAATATTAATTTAGAAAAATTTTCTAAAAACATTTTCCACTATTTTTTATGATTGGGACCAATTTATTTAGTGACTTCATCATTAAAACAAAAAAATTTGAAGATTAAGTTTTAATAAAATCCTTAAATGTTTGTTTCTATAATAAAAAAATTGAAAAATTATCTGTTAATTTGTTTACATTTAAAAAAAAAAATAACTTTTTATTTTTGAAAAGATTTACTTTTCATTTACTTAAAATATTTTATTAAAAATTTTAAATACAATTGAAAATTTTCAATTTGAACAAAGAATTTAAAAAACAAAAAATAAAATAATTTGAAACAAATTTAAAATTATTCTAAATTTTTAATTAAATTTTAAATTGGAGAAAAGGTTAAAATTTTTTAAAAATTCTGTCCGTCAGCAGAACACATCATATTTTTTTTTTAATCATGAAGTTTTACTTTTTAATTCATTAAATAGATTTACAATTTAAACAGATTTCAATAATTTCCTTTCAAATAAAATTTTAAATTATTTTTTAAGGCTAAAACGAAAAAGTAAAATTATTTAAAATTTTCAATATCACTTAAAATTTAAAAAAAATAAAAATTGAAATAATTTTAGTTTTTTCTTTGAAAATCTTAAACTTGAAAACTTTTTTGTAATAATAAAAAAGAAGTTTTTATTGTAAAATATTTTTAAAATGCGTTAGTTTATGAAATTAAAAGAAAAATTGGAAGTAAATTTTTTTGTTTGACCTTACCAAAAAATGCAAGACAGCTAAAAATATTTAAAGTTTTTTCAATGAAAATAATATTTTTTTTTTATTTTTTTCAATTAAAAATTAAAATTAATTAAAAAAAATTATTTTTTCTCCAAATATAATTAAAAAAGAAAACAAGAAAAGAAACCTCTTAAACTTGGAGATGCGCTGTTTACGATTGATCCAGCCGGAGACAAATCATTACTGCTACTGACGACAGGAGATGATCTTTTGGGGGCTGATTTCTTGCTTTTGGGCATCCTGTGTCTAGCAATTTTTCAAGAAGTCTGCGAGTTAGGATATCTTTCTTGATTCGGATTACTTCAGACACTTTTAAGTTTGAAAGAATTAAATTTCTTATTGTTTCCGCCTTTCCTCAACTCCGGCATGAAAACTTTGAAGAAAAATCTCTTTCCAAAAATACAAGAGCAGATAACTCTCCCATGACTTTGCCTCGGCTTTTCTTTTTCATATATATATATATATATATATATATATATATTCATATATTCATTAAGAAATATCTTACATTGATTGCACAACTCGGAGTTTCATACGTTCTGCATTCTTCAGGTGCAATTTTTTACCTATCCATTTGTTATATGAAATCGGCCTGAATTTCGTAGAAAAGATGTGCTTCTCCGACATGAATCGAACCTGTAACCCGAACCGGGCCCCCAATGGGAACTTTCATTTGATCTGATGTGCTGTTAACATTGTGGTTATATTCAGGTTCGAACCCCCACAAAAATATGCTATTATTAATAGTTTTCTTTTACCCTAGGTTTTAAGGCCAAAAGTTGACGATTTGTGTTAAATTTTGAAAAATCTACTTAGATACCATTGATTCAATAATTAAAGTGTGTTGTAATTGACTTGAATTTATTTGTTATAAACTTAAAAGTTATTTTTAATTTAAACATCACAAACTAAATCAGTTTGTGTATTTTGGTAATTTTGTTACTTTTGTTCCTCTGTATTTAATTAAATTTGAGTCAGGTTTTCTTTCAAAAGTAGATGTCGGGGTGGAGACTTCTATTGGTTGAAGTATTTGAAAGGTGGGATACACGACACCATATGTTTCAGTTTAAATGTGTATTGTTTTCGCTGTATTTTAAGTAATATTTATGTAGTAAGTAATATTTTTTCACAGTCCTATTAATTAATCCTTAATTTCACTCATTGTCTTTGAAGCAAATATCTAGGACAGATATTTGTTTTTTAATAGATTTTAAAAGTTATTTTCGTTGTTTTAAACAAATTTCTAGGACAAATATTGAACTTTAAATTTTTTTTCGTTTTTAGTCTATAGGTTCTGTGATGAGTGACCGTATGTACTAGAAACTTTATTTACATACGAAAATGTATTTTTCATTTTTCTTTATGGATTAGCTTTAAGTTATTCAAATAAAACCAAAATTTAATTTCAAAGAAAAAAATTAAATTGGTTAATAATGCGTTTTTTATTTTTTTAAAGGTTGTTTTGTTTTTGCTTTTATACTTTCATGGTGATCTAGACATCAAAATCTATTTCCTTGGTGTTTTAGTCTTATACTTTTGTAATTTTACAACTTGGATTTTTTTTTTTACATAGTCACTGTAAAAAAAACTAAAAGTAAAACACAAAGTCTTGTCTTTGTAGGGGAGTTATAATTTTGAGTAAATAATTATAGACTCCCTAACATTTATTTATTCATACAAAAATTCTCGTTAAAATGAGAAACAGAAAGACCTGATAACAACAAAATGAGTATTAATTATTTATTATCTGGTTGGAGACGTCTTAACGAATGGTCCCGATGGCCCTACTAGCTTGTCGAGTGACTTATGTTACAAAAGTCCCTTTTTAGAAAATACGAAAAATAGAAATTACTAAGACAAGCCATACGATTGATGAAAATATATGTTATAATAGAAAGATCCATTTCATTTGAGTTGGTTCTCCAATAAAAAAGAAAAATAGGAAAATGTCCCCTTTTGACCTAGAAGATGCCTAAAAACGATGAGGACTTTCTTCAAAGAGGCATCCCACCTAAAATGGAACGGTTGGTTTGTCTCACCAGTTCAGATTACTTGCGAACAATTTCGCTATCACGGAAAAGATAAAAAAAAAAAAAACTGACCCTGACTCCCGACGACCAGTCTTAGCACAGACTCACTGTAAAACTCTCTTTTTTATCTTTTATTGTGATCAAGACGACCGTTGTTGACTTTTTGGAGATAATATTTTTATTTTTTCTCTGGTTTGATTTAATTCTTAGATTTCCCATCCACTGAATCAATATTGTCTTGGATGTAACTGTAATATGTTTACGTTTTTACTTTTGTAAATAAATTATTATTATTATAAAATTCTAGTTTTGATAGTCTAAGTATTTCTTTATTCTCCTTTTCTTTCGCCTTCTCTATATTTTTTTTTCTTTTGTTGCAACCGTGACAAAATGGCGGCTCGTCCTAAACTTTGATGTTCATTTCAAAACAAAAACACCAATTCAGTTGTCTTAACTAAAAAATAAACATTTTTTCATTCGATGTTCATTTCACAACAGCATCAACAAATTTATATTTCTCTTCAGATATTTTTTGATTAAAACTGACTTCGTATTTGTATTTGTTTAAAAATGTCGTTTTCTGTTGATTGTTGAAGAACTTCTTTCTTCATCCAATTTAGATAAAGAATTTCACTCATTAAAAATTACATATTTTGACATTAATGCAAATATGAAAAATTCTACCATTAATGTTACATTTAATGTTTACATTTTTAACATTAATGCAAATATGAAAAAAGCCAAAGTAACATTTTTAGACCTACGGTAGTACTATTATGGTTATTGGTTAATTGATTGAAAATGAATTTATTTAAAAAAATAAAAGTTTGAACAAAGTAACTATAAACAAAATGGTTTTTGTTTTTTCGTTTGATTTTATTTGCTATTCTCTGCCAGCCGCAATGATGGAGAAAGCGAATTTAGGTAAAAATGGCAAAAGTGGATAAATAGGTAAAAATGGCAACGGTAAAAATGGCAAAAATGGATAAATAAGAAAAAAATGGCAAAAGGAAAAAAATATAGATGAATATCTCACAATGAGTTTATTAAAATCATGGATACAATACATAATGGAAAAAGATGAGAAGTTTGTCAAATTAAAAAGAATATTCAGCTAAAGCTCCCCCCTCCCATGAGATTTTACTTTTTAGGCGATTACGTGTGAACACACTGAAAAACTTTGGGAAAAAACAATTATAGATCCACTTGATGAAACCGAAAAAAAACAACAACAATAAAACATTAATTATTTCAGAGGCTATCAGACAACGACAGGGTCAGACTGGTGCCAGTAAAATTTAAAATCTTGTCTGATGCGTTTTCAATCTTTTAATACTCAAGTGGGAAGTCTCTAAGAGGCGTCATATAGACATTTAGCAAATCGGTGTGAACAGAAATTCAAAAGGTTTGCTGAGGGAATAGGCTAAGTGAACTCTAGAATATTTACTTCGTTTACCATAATTTACCAATAAAATAATTAAATTAGACTCTGAGAGTCAATACGAATTTTTCCGATTCCCCGATTCCGATTAATCGTCCCAACACTAATATATATATATATATATATAATCCTAATGTCAGCTATCAGTTATAAAATTAATTATAGTCATCAAATTCACTTAAACACGCTACGATTTGTGCTTTTACTGCAATTAGTAATAGGAACCTAGCGCCCCCCCCAATAAAACTTCTAAAAATCGACATCGAAAATTTTTAAAAAAATGTTTTTAATACTAGGAGCGGGAACTTAGCCCATATTTAAAACAAGAGGAGAAGGAGCCCAGCTCCCACTCCCAATAGAATAAATATTTATTTAAAAATATTTATTTTAAAATATTGAGGGGGGACTTAGCCCTATTTTAAGCTAGAGGGATGGGAGCTTAGACCCATCCTTCTCGAACGGTCATAATTTTCTGTTGTCGAATTGCCATTTTTTCCTATTTATCCACTTTTGCCATTTTTACCGTTGCCATTTTTACCGCTGCCATTTTTACCGAGCACCGGAGAAAGCATTACCTCGCACCATCGCCAGTGAGACACGCTGCAAGAACCACTCCGTTTCGCGAGGCTCATCCCTTAATCGAGACGCCATACTGCCAATCCTCCGAAGGAACGCCATCGAACGAATAACCCCAGAAGTCTCCACTGCCACAGGAGTAAAAAAAAAAAAAAAAATTATACATTGTATATGAACTCAGGTATGAGGACTATGCATAGATTATTAGTGAGTGAACCTGAGATTCAATCACAACATTAAACACTTGTACGGTAAACATGTAGTGGTTGTTTAAGATTATGAATTTATGATGCAGTATTATTGGGTATTGATAGTTTGTGAATACAGTGTAACCCGGATATAAGAGAAACCCGGATATAAGAGAGATTTTCTCTGGTCCCAAATTAGAGCCTGTGTTAATGTATATAAATTAGACCAAACCCGGATATAAGAGAAACCCGGATATAAGAGACTTCTTTTCCAGTCCCGACAACTCTCTTATATCCGGGTTACACTGTATATCAATGGATAATGTTTTAATAATGCAAGTTGAGAAAAGTGTTGAATGTAGTCTTGTAGATGAGACTAGATCAGTGCCAGACACCCTAGCTATGTGATTGAGCTAGATCTAGGTATTGTCCAGCAGTTTTGTGAATTAGCACACAGAGTAGAGAGTTTGTATTAAGAATAAATACTGTTTGTTATCGCTCTTTCCAGGACTAGTGTGGTCTTCCTTCCTAGCTTTTTTTCCAAAGTAGCGTATAACGTCAACATTTTTATTATGTCATTATTTTTGCTTTGAATTACATGTGCTATCAATTTTAGTTGTTGCTTCTGTTGAAAGTCCTTGTTGCAACACTTAGTAAGACTAAAATCAGTGGTGAGAAAATACACTAGCATGAAAGTAAACATTGCAAGTTAGGAATTGCGGACGTGAAACACAAACGCGTGTGTGTGTGAGAGAGAGAGAGAGAGAATGCGCGAGAAAAAGTTCAGTCATTAAGTGGAAAGATATCTTCAAGCTCAGGAAGGTCCCTGTTGGTATTGTCACTCCAGCATGCTGGGAGGATAAGAGAGAAAGAAAGGAAGTGTCCCATTTTTACAGGTGCTTAACAGCACCCTCTAACAACTTCTAAGCAAAATTGACGAAGCTATGAGGCGATAACTCAAATCCTCAAGTGATGTGGTTTCTGTTATTTTATAAAGTTCATTGTTTGTGATTCTGTAGCGCCAGACCACAAGGTTCGAACAAGGACAGTACTCGCTAAGACCTATAGCCTTCATTCGCTCAAAACATTGATTTGAGGAAGCGGTTGCATACAACTGATAGTTTATATATTTCTGAAAGTGTTTTGCGTCAAGTGAAAGTCTCGATCTGACGAGGCTGTCAGAGTTAACTACTCCTTAATTGCTCAAATTGTTCACTAGGAGACGCTCTTCCTACACTATAAATACTGGGCGATTTCTTGCCTCGTTCTCTTTTTCATTTCTTCCCTTTCAGCGAACACATCTACAATGTAACAATGTAAGCTCTCGCAGAAGATTGCGTCTTCCCATTTGTGGGAGACGCCGTGAACATTATACACACATAAACGTAGATACAAACATTCACCAAAATTCAAACTCTTACGTTCACACACAAACATAAATGTTAAAAGTTTATGTCCATTGTAAACTTTGTTTATACATACATACACACACACACACACACACACACACACACACATATATATATATATATATATATATATATATATATATATATATATATATATATATATATATATATCTTGTTGGTTTTCTTTACATTTCGTTATGGTGGATTCAATCTCTGAGTCCGCCATGTTCTTGTAGTGGACCTTCTAGCAGGAATAAACGCACGTGTTCTTAATTTAACAACACGTAAACCCACGGTCCACAATAAGGCTATCTAAGAACATGACTCGAATTTTTAAGTTAACGTTTTGCTTTTGTAGCAAATTGCTGTTATACTCTGCTTTAAGCTAGATCTCTTTCTGATTCACTCAACCTCCGGCGTCTTCCTCTTTGGGTTGAGGTGTCCACTCGGTCCGAACCGACCTTAGGGGTAACTGGCCGTACGCTCCCTGAGTACCCATAGATTATTTCGACTGGTCAACTGGTCAAGTTCTGCTCGCTGCCCACGCTGTGTTAGTTTTTAGATCCAGTAAGCAGGGTGTTGTCTATACGTTCACGGTTGACTGGGGGTGTGGACACGGCTGTGAGAGTTGGTGGTAGGAAGTTTTAGAATGTGGCAAAATAAAACAAGAAATAATATCTGCAGAAGCCAGACAACAATGGCGGAAATATTGACGTCTTTTATATAAGAAGATAACACCAAAACAGAGGTTACAGGGAGAATAAAAACATTTAACATAAATGAGAAAAGAAAAAGACACAATGCATCCAGCAAATTCCCAACAGAGAGAGGGTTTGTGTTTGATAAACGCGTATTGAATCGCCTGGGGTAGGTTTATGACTAGTAGTCCAGTCTCATACAGACTTCTCAGAACAAGGGGCAGTCTTCCTTCTCTAATTCTCCCGCAAATCTCTCGTGACTCTCTCGACGACGGTCTCATTCCCCGACTCTCTCTCCCGTCTCGCCTCTTCCATATAACTATGCGTTTATATAGATGAATCTGTTTGATCATCAATCGACCCTTGGCCCGGCACGCGATTATCATGAGTGCCAAAAACTATCCCTTGACATGTAAACCGATTCTCCAATTATTTACCACGAGTTCTCGCTTCCCCCAAATTATACTTTGGAATATCTAAACATTGATTCAACCTTTTAATCAAAACAAATACTGGTGAACAAAACCTAATATCTCGTAGCCTGAGTAAGCTCTATTTCAATTTTTAACCGATAAATTTTATTTAGATCATTTTTTCATTGTTTTTTTTCTAATGACCCAGATTTAAAACATCGCCTCCTGCCTGAGATCGTGTTTCTCATCGGTAAACACACATCCTAACCCAAATTGTACTTTGATATATAAACACCATTTCCACTTCCAGTCAATAAAAGTTATATTTGCGTGTGTGTATTAATGTGAGGGTATATGTGTATACCTCTCTCTGTTACAACATCAAAACCTGACGGTCAGCTGTGAATGCTACGAAAGCAAAAATTGAATAAAATCTTACTCTCTGTACATGGGCGTCGAGCACCACACCTGTCTCAGAAAATAAATCTCCTCCCTAACAAAAAATATAAAATACAATTTAAAGGACCCAATCACGAATATTGCAGCTAAACCAAAAACATGAATTATGAGCCATGATCCACCTCGGCTGCTTTTAAGGACGCCGTTCACGACACTGAAATCAGTTGATAGGCAAGCAGGCAAGCTGTCAATATTACCACTAGTGACTTCGGTCAACCGCCCAGATATAAGCATCAACACCAAGCTCTACCGATTCTCCTCATCCTCCGGGTAGCTTTCCTCGCCCACAAAGAGACATTTCGCCTTGACCCTTTATATCGACAATATAAAGAATTTTCTCTTAAAAATTCTTGTTTCCTTTTCTTTCCGCCTCACCAACGGTAATTTGTTTTCCTGTCCAAACATGCACGTCTATAACATTGCGGTGTTGTGCGAGTGTACCTAGAGAGAAGCCCATTTTTTGTTCAGTTTATATATATCTCCTATACTGAATATATTATAACTGATCCATACACCGAAGTATTTGAAGTGCTTAGTATTTAATAATTTCACATCCTGGAATTTTATGATGGATTCAAAACCATGCTGTCGATGAGCAAATAAAATCTCTATCTATAAAAGTCAGGATGTGTGTGTGTGTGTGTGTGTGTGTGTGTGTGTGTGTGTGTGTGTGTGTGTGTGTGTGTGTGTGTGTAACGAATGCACGGTCACAATTTTCAACGGATTTGCACCAAAATTACATGCACATGCTTCAAGTTAGCGGGAAGGCCAAGACCGACTTTGCATTTCCCAACTCCCATCGATAGTGGAAATAATCGATTTTTCATGCTTCTACGGCAGTTTTCATATAGTTTGCGGCCATTTTGTACTGACCAGAGTGAGAGCTAATAGCTGGCTGCCACAGGAAGATTCTACTGGCCAGTGTGAGAACCAACAGCTGACTGACACGAATGTTAACTAGCACGCAAAAAAAAATCGATATCTGCATTCGTCACAAATGGGAAAAGTGTAAATCTGCATGGCACTTTACTGCATTTGGCTTATTCGCTTGCTTAAACTCAACGTTGATTCTGATTCCGCAGAACTGGGTTGGGCGTGGAAAAGTATTTGTTGTTAACATTCTTTTTTCATTAGAAATGATTTAAAACTTTTTTTTTCAAAAATGAGTAGAAAGGGAGGTAACCTATAATTGCTGGCGTTTCAGGTCTTGAATTTCTATTGATTAGTCTCCCTTGACCCTAGACTGACGTTATGTGTCACATCCTGGCATAGGGCTCCGTCCCTGGGCTGGTGGTATCACGGCTACGACTAGCTTGGACCGGCTTTGACCAGTTTGGACCAGCTATGACAAGCCAAGACCAGCTATGACTAGCTTATACCAACTTGGACAAGCTATGACCAGCTTAGACCAGCACTCGGGTCCCCACGTTAAAAACTGACCTTGTGTCACAACCTGACTCAGTGGACGGTCAAGTAAATATCCATGTGATACATGCTTGGGCGATCATGTATCTTTCGATACATGACTGACGAGGCAGATTTTTTTCCCGCAGTAGGTTGCCATTTCTTCCTGCGGTAGACCAGTTGCCATCCAAGGCATATATAACCTGGCCTGTCCTGCTATTTACGCATAGCTGGTGGGAGGAGAAGAGGATTCATACTTTTCCCAAGGTGAATGTAGTGAATTCGACTGGAATTCGAACTCGGTTCTCCAATCCCTCAATCCGAGCCGCTATCTCAATGATCCTAGATTACAATTATTATAAAAATGGTAAATTGAAATAAGAAATAATCTGAGTATTTGATGTCCAGAAATCGTATGTTTATTCAAATGTTCTTGTTCTATAGTTCTCTAACGGGCAGGGAGCTATGCACGAAAGGTTTATTGTCCTATTTATATTTCCCCTATTATGAACATTATTATATCCGTCATATAATAACACCATATTTCATGGACGAAAAGGAATGACAAACATTTCTTAAATCAAACTGTATTCTAAAATATAACTTCAATGAAAGTACAACATAAAAATAAAAGTATAAAACATTGGCATTAAATGACCTATAAGGAGCCGATATGACATTAAACAAGCAAATCAAAATGTTTCGAAATGTTAGGTTAGGGAAGAGTAACCTCCCTTACACAGGATCAATCATTTACAGTAATCTCCCTTGGAAAGTTAAAATTGCGTTGTCTAGCAACATAAATAAAATTTCTGATGAAATGTCGCTAGGCAACAAGGTTCGTTCTTTTTCGCAGAACAACAACACGAAATCAATGAAACCGAGAAACGGATTTATAGTTCGATCATTTTCTATCTGAGTTTTTTTTTTTTTTCGACACAATGTCGACTTTATTTCCTGAAGTAAAACCTGTCCAACGTCAAGACTGGCACCTCACAAGTTCAGGGGTGGCCCATCAATATCGGGCACCATTAGGGACCCAGTTTCCGAACGCAAGCTTACAGGTTTCCAAATTTTATTCTCCGCTTTTTTCATCTTCTTTTTTTAGTCTATTTATTTGAGTTATTGACATGCAGAATGTAATTTGGTGTTTATGCGTTCGCTCGTGTATGTGTGTGTGTGTGTGTGTGTGTGTATCTATTGCGCGTGCTCACACTCATACAGAGCTGTTCGATAAAAGTGACTCACCTGATTTTTTTTTACTTAAAATTTTTTCGCCTATTGTTTTTGGAGTCAAACTAATTTTTAATCTTACTAAAAATCCCATCCTGACCACCTAAAAAAAGTTTACTCACCCTAAGGTATTCTATTGATAATTATAACTTATTTCCTGCAACTAGTAATCAATAGAAACATAACTGAACAGCTTTAAATAAAGAATAATAGGTATAATTTATATATAATAGGTAATATAGTTCGAAATATTTAATAATCTATGGGTCCTCCTTTATTTTGAATAACCTTTTCAACCCTTTTTGGCATTGACTTGATTAGGTTCTGGAAAATCTCATCTCCAAGCATTGAATTCCATTCGAATATGAAATTCACAATTAAATCCTCTTTGTGGCTCAACTGATTTCTCGAGAGCCTGTACTTTATAATGCTCCATAAGTTTTCTATGGGGTTGAGGTCAGGAGATTGTGGCGCCAATGTCATAACACTCACCTGCTTCTCATCAAAGTATTCCTTCATCAATTTTGATTTGTGACAGGGAGCATTATCTTGCATAAAAATGCGCTTGGCGGGGTCGATTTGCACCCTTTCAGCCGAAGGGAGCGAGACAAGACTCTAAAATTCTCTTGTACTGCTTACTCCTGAGGGTCTTTTCAATAGGTTTTAAGAAACAAGTTCCATGAAAAGAAAAACATTCCCAGAACATTATACTGAACGGATGCTTGACAGTACTTACTGCTAAATTCAAAGAGCTTTCAAAGCTTTTTCGGATTTTAGATCGTTTATCATTTGAATTTAGCTCAACTTTCGTTTCATCGGAGAAGAGAACATTTATTAAAAAAAAATCAGGTGAGTCACTTTTATTGAACATCACTGTATATGACATATTGAGTGTTTATAGTTATTGGTACCTCGAACCTGACAGCGTAGAGATGGCCATAAAATAAATGCCTAGTTTATTACTTATGACGATCGGATATAGTGAATTTAGTTTAAAATTTACAAAACAATGAATGATCACTGAAAGTGAATTCAGTTTTTTTTTTAAAAAATGGCCTAAGTGGAAAAAAAGGAAAAATGACACAGTTAAAATTCTTCTTCTATGTGTTGTGACCCTTCCGAACGTGGACGATCATTTATCTCCACAATTTCCTGTTCTTCGTAAATCTTAATAAATTTTATATTCATGTTATTTCTTCTAAACCTTGTTCCGCCATCCATTTACTCAAGTTCACTAAGTATGTTATGTTGGCGAGAGAATCGAGTCTGCTTCGCTATTTAACCCTTAGATATATATAGAGAAGTGATGGATACGTACATTTTCCAAGGATATTTATGAGAAAGTTAAGATAGACTGGACCCCTTAGTTATGTATTCAACTAGTGTAATGATGACACGGCATCATTGGGCGAAGGGCTTCCTAGATTTAAATCAACTGTCAAGGCAGAATGTTCCCCTGATGGAATAAACGGCCATGTGTACGTGACCAAGTACATCTGCTGTGATTTCAACAAGATAGGAATGGGCTCCGCTAGGCCGACTTGCCCCAGACATGCTACACATATATGAATACCCGCCCCCCGGCTTTCGAAATGGCCAGGTGCTCAGTTTCTATTCATTAGTCTAGTTTTGTTTTTTAATCGAATTTACTCCAAGCAAGGCAGTAAAGCTACTAAGACACAAGTGGTTACTGGGTGTGAAAGAATTACAAAACAGAAAGGAGTAATAACAACAGTAGAGTAATCAGGAAGACAGTAGATAACGATTGACATTACATTTAATTTTTTGAAGATCGAAGTTGGCCGGAAAGCATGGAGTCAGAAGAGAGTTCCATAATCGAGAAAAGAAGATGTTAACATAGAACTTACGGTTAGATTTAGCCAATTCAACTGTAAATTGATAAGATCTTGTTACCAATCTAGGACTGCAAGTAAATTCATAGGTACCATAGCGAAGACCCCGCCCGAACAATTACCATGAAAGTATTTTTCGAAAAAGCTCAGGGAAGCAACTTTACGGCGGTTGGAAAGTGACAGAATCCGAAACGCTAGGTCAGGACCAATAATATTGCTGACTCTTCTCTGGAATTTATCAAGAATTTCTAAATAAATAGAAGGATCACCGGGCCATATGTAGCTACAAACAATATTCTAAGCATGGACGAATGGTAGACTTATAGATATGTAAGATAAATTCTGGAGAAAAAATTGTCTCGCTCGACATAGTGAACCGACTATCTTAGCAGCTGACATAACAATGGATTTTAGCGGTTGTTTACATACACCACACCCACAAAATACTCAATAGCCATTGGATAGAAAATAAGCACTATTTTCTATAGGACAATTTATGCATCTCATGAGCCACATCAAATTTTCTGATGTTTACTTTGCCAAACCTGGTTTAGAAAAAAATCAGTGATTGGTTGATTTTTGACCAATAATATAATATAACACTCCTTTCAATATTTTCCCGCTCTCATTCCTGGAGCCTATTTAGAAAGTATAAATAACACGAAAATCAAAGAAAAGAACAGTAGTAGAACAGTAAATCTCCAGAGCTCAACCACGTACGTGAATTCTCATTCTTCTACTCACACACACAGACACAAAATTATAATTGCACTACGCTGTGAATTGTCTGTTCAAAAAGCCAAGTAACCAACTCAGAATTTTATCATTCTTTTGTACAACTTTCTCATACTTAAACTCATATATTCACATATTGCTGAACTCTGAACATTTTAAACAAGAAAGTTCTTTTAATACATATTTACAATCTCATATCAATACAAGGGGAAACTTCCTCTTTCTTAACTTTGTTTCACTAAACACAATTAAATATACTCAACTTGTTTTTCAATACATGTTATTGTTGATTACTGAATAATCTCTTGTTATTCCTTCTTTGTGTTTATTTGTAAAATTTAAATGTGATGTGCTAATCAAAAGCGCAACCTTCTGCAAAGCCTTCTTAACAATTTTATACCAAATCTCATTAGCACGCCACAGAGTCAATGTAATCTTCCCACTTCATGTCAGCCGAGAATGTTAAACCGAGAAGATGCAATGAATTACTCCTCTGAAATTTAGTATCAACCATGCTGATGGAAAGCAGAAATGGTTCTCTCAGATGATTAATAGAGATGATTAATTGTTGCAAAAAGGAATAATGAATGATGCCTTTGGCCGAACACCACACATTAACCATGATCTTTTGGGAATGCAGAGATTGTTTTAAGTGATGTTTTACAAACACAGGATTCCATGTAAAAATGATTCACTTTCAAATCGAAGAGAAAGACATAGTGAACCAGAACCCGAATCGAATGGCAGAGATGGTGAACAAGACTTGCCTTATTCTCGACGAAAAAGAGTGTAGGACTTCAATTTGAGAGAAAACAAGTGCGTCATTCCGTCAAACGAGACCCTTCGCGGAATTGGACGGAATCGAAAAATGAGAACAACAAGTGTTGGTACTCGGATGTCTTTAGCATGTTTATCATAGGTCAAATAATGGGCGACTCGCGAACATAAATAACCATCTTGGAGAACTATCATTTTGAGTTCTGTCTGGGTTCATCGTACGATACGTGCAGTTGTGATAGAACAGACAAAAGAACGAAAACGAACGAACAGAACTTACACAAGGCAGAAAACAACGATAAATACCAAGAAAAAATGGTGTAGCAGGGAAGAAAATGCCAGAAATGAAATTTTTCCCACAACAATGTCTTTCGCTAATTTCTTTTGACCACAAACACGCCTCAAAAATATCGGTTTCTTTGATTTTCAGCCAATTTATTCGTGATAAACGTACCATCTTCTTTACCTTTCCAATAGCTTTTAAATGCTAATGGAGAATATTTTCTGATTCTTGTTTTCCTTGCTTTGTCTAACCAATGCATTCAGTTGATCATTTTTATGACTGAATTAGGTTTCCTCTTTGTACACTCTCAAAGCTCTCATCTCCTGAACAGAATTTCTGCAGCCATCTCTGTATAATTCTGACATTAAAAATACTATTGCGTAATGTTAAGTTTCGCCGAGCTTTTGTGGCATTGTGGCCTAATTTGGACTCGTATAATATGAACAGTCGAGATTGTTCAATGGTCTAGAGTCTACGAATAATTTTAGATTTTGTTTAAACCGGTTCCAACAGCCAAATGTTACAGAATGCGAAATAGTTTCGATGGTCATTTTTTTGGCCGGTTATGATTCATAGATGTTTATTCTAACAGTGAGGCATTGTTTTGTTTGGATTTTTTTTATAAATCCAAAACAATGAATGATTAGAGGGTCGCAAGAATTTTGAAGTCGCTGATATGCTTCCCACGCCCAAATTTCGAGAAACGGGCTAAGGCCACACACGGAGGGAGGCTAAGCCAACGAGCGACATGGATTCCCGTGACGTGATTCCTCCCGTTGCCTCTTAGAATCCAAGCATCCACGTCCGATTCTTTCTTCTAATAAAAATAAATAAGAATAAGAAATCATCCTTTTTCGTTAATACCATTTCATGTAGTAGTGTAGGGACCCAGAGACGATATTGAACGCAATACAAAATAGCAAAGAGATTAGTAAGAAATAAAGGTTAAATTAACGTCTATAGCAGCTCGGGCTGAGGAATCGGAGAGCCGAGTTCGAATTCCAGTCGAATTTATTACATTCACTTACGTGCTATTACCCTTGGAAAAGGTATGAATCCTCTTTTTCTCTCTCTCCAGCTATGGGTAAATAGTAGGACAGACCGGGTTCTATAGCCTTGGATGGCAACTGGTCTACCTCAGAAAGAAATGGACCCTACTGCTGGAAAATATCTGCCTCGTTAGTCATGTATCGAAAGATACATGATCGCCTACGAGTGTATCACGCATGGCACATAACTGACTGATGTCTATAAACCTTTGTCAATTTCTGTGTAAAATGAGCAAACACAAAATACAACATATATAGGACTAGCAGTAGAGCCCGGCGTTGCCCGGGGATGTAACAGTAAGAGATAGATCAAGTATCGACGATCATAAAGACTGAAAAATAAAATTGACAAAGATTTGTTTAAGGTTGACGGACACGCATGTCTTAATTAGTTTTCTTTTTTTTATGAATTGGTCAAACCCAAACTCAAATAAAAACATTGTTTTCAATCGTTATGAGTCTACCGATTGAATAGAATTTTAATATTAAACAATTGTCTTGTAAATGGAATTTTTAAAGCATTCTGATTGTAAAAATAAAGAAAAAAGTGTGCAAGACAATAAGAAACACTACCTGCCAAAAAAAAAAAATGAAGTTTTGTTGAAATCGGTTGAAAAATGTAGGAAATCCGATCCCATAAATAAACGAACACAGACACACACACACAAACAACCTGGGTTTTATATTATGTATAATTCGATATGAGTTGTCCCCCTTTCATTCTCACGATTCATCTTAATCGTGTTTTCAAATTGATTTTGTGCAAAAACAATTGTGTTTTTCCAAATTTTGGCGCTGTCAGAACCACCGCAAGGTAATTTTACGTAGTCCTGTGAAGTTTTGTTGAAATCGGTTGAAAAATGTAAGAAATCAGATCCAATATATAAACGTACACACACACACACACACACACACACACAACCTGGGTTTTATAATAAGTATGATATATAGGCGACAACCTAAAACACTTAAAGTAGCGTTTCATTATATTTAAAACAGGTGACTAAATCTTGTCACTAAATTTTCTAGGACTTTCTGAAACCGAATTTTCTGACCGCCGTAATAACTATCTTTACTTTTAGAATGTGAAATAACTCAAGGAAGACTCAAGAAGATTGAAACAACAAAGATAAATATACTAGTTCGAATAGAATAGCAACAATGCTTCTTTTGTGTCATATAATTTTTGATAATGACTGCATGCTTGACTGTCTTTTTATAGCCTGTTGTTAATATGATAAGCAGCTGATTCATACCCCCAACAATTATCTACGAGGTGCATTCAAGAAGTTTTGAGACTTTTTTGAAGAGTCAATTATAACTTTCCTAAATTATTGTAATTTCAGTATATATTCATCTAAGTTGACTTGCCAATTTTTGTTATTCCAGACTGAAAGAGAGTTGTATAAGCTCTTTGAACACACCCGACTATACACAGTGCTTATACAGCGGGAAAATTTGGAGAATGAAGTTAATTTGAACGCTCGTTATGCAATAAAGTTGTGTTAAACTGGGCAAAATGATACAAAAACGAATGAAATGTTCCAGACTGCTTATGGATTAACTTGTATGAGCCGAGCATCTGATTTCCACTGGCTCAAGAGGTTCAAGAACAGTGGAAAAGATGTGAGAGACGATGAGCGAAGTGGGAGGGAGACAATGTGGATATGGACGCCAGAACATTAGAGCTATTTGAGGAAATTCACAATTTTCTGGATGAAGATTGTCATATACCTCTAAAGACAATAAGCAGACAGTTTGGAGTTGGTGTTGCAACTGTATACAGAATTATCCATGAAAATCTGAGCATGCGCAAAATTTGTGCAGAGTTTGTTCCCGGAGAGCTCAGTGACGAACAGAAGGAAAGACGCGTTGGTGACAGCAGGGGATATGGTTTCTCCCTCTCCCTAAAGTCCATAACTTGTTCCCTGTGACTTTTGGTTGTTCTTCAAACTGAAGAATCTCAGGGCTAGTCGTTTTGAACACATTGAGAAGATAAAGGAGGCTGTGATCAGGGTCCTAGATACTTTCACTTTCGGGTGACTTCCATGAGACCATCACGGAGAGGCTGGTGGGCGACAAGTGCGTTAAAGTCAGAGGTTCCCACTTTAAAGAAGATTAGAGTTTTGTACTTCTTTGAATTTAATAAATGTCTCCCCTAAAAATGTCTCAAAACTTCTGGAACGCACTTCGTATATCAAATAATAATAATCATAATTACAGCCTGCGAATGACTCAAAAGAATAATTATTGTGTAACGGGGCCTCCATATATGATGATTATTGAACATTTATGTATTCTTTGGTCATTATATCACTGTTATTATTGTTCAACATTTTTTTAAATAAATTCACCCTAAGCAAGGTGATAATGTCACTAAGACGCAAAGGGCAACTGGGAGTGAGAGAACGAGAAGACATTAAAAGGAACCGGAAACCCAATCTTAAACAAAAGACAAGGGATAAACCTCTACTCGTATTCAAAAGACAGGGGAGCGATGTAAATCGGACGGTAGGCGAATCTATCTAGTCTTATTGAGTTTTTTTTTTCAAGCAGCGTGAAAAAAGCGCAGAATGATTAAAACAAAAATTTTGAAAATGCTTTTAATTCTTTTAAATTGTGGTTACAATTTGAAAGGTTGTATTCGTAGATATTCTGGAAATGTCGGCGAGTCGACTTCGAACTATGTCCGTGTTCCTAAACCTCCTCTCTTGTTCAGAAAATAGCGGAGGGTGTCAAACTGACGATAGGCGAACCTATCTACTCCAACTGAGATTTTTTTGAAGGAGGAGAAGGTAAAGGAGGCTATGACAGGGGCCCTGGACACCTTCACTTTAAATAACTTCCATGGGACCTACACGTGCATTGAAATGAGAGGATTCTACTTTGAAGGAGATTAGTGTGTTGTCCTTCTTTGAGATTAATAAATGTCTCTCCTGAAAAAAAATTTCGAAACTTCTGGAACATACCACGTATGTCAAATAATAATTATAATTACAGCCGGCAAATGACTCAAAAGAATAATTGTTGTGCAACGAGGCCTCCGTATATGATGATTATTGAACATTTCTGTATTCCTCGTTTCAATGTTATTATTGTTTAACATTTTTAAAAAATTAAATTCACCCCAAGCAAGGTGAAAATGCCACTAAGACGCAAAGTACTACTAGGAGTTATAAGGGACGAAAAGACTTTAGAACAAGAAACTCCAACCTAAACAGAAAACAAGGGATAAATGTCTACTATTGTTCAGAAGATAGGGGAGGGTGTCAAACTGACGATAGGTGAATCTATCTACTCCTATTGAGATTTTTTTGAGGGACGAGAAGGTAAAGGAGCTGCGACAGGGGTCCTGGACACTTTCACTTTGAATAATTTCCATGGGATCTACACGTACATTGAAATGAGAGGATTCTACTTTGAAGGAAATTAGTGCTTTGTCCTTCTTTGAAATTAATAAATGTCTCTCCTGAAAAAGTTTCGAAACTTCTGGGACCTCGTATTTTCAACCATTTTCTTTCTTAGAGTGTCTCAAATAAAAGTTAAACTGCGGCCAACAAAATGTCTAGAATTAATGTTCTTTGACTGACATAACTTTTCAACCATTAAATAAATCTTTGCACAATTTCTGATCAGTTCAATATTTAATCTTCAGCCGAGGGTTAACGAGCCACTGCCTCTATCATTGCTCCAACCTGACGAAATGACCAGGTACAAGATGCACACAACGACCACAGGGACGTTCCATGATAGGAAATTCGTACCGCAGCAACTGAGGCAACCGTATTATGAAGGTTTGAAATACGACCGTTTTCATAACATAAAAGATTTGTCAGAGAAGGTAAGATTTCAGTAGAGTAATTGTCTAACCATGTTTCTTTTCTTTTCCGTATTACCTTTCTTCAGAATTACTGTAAACATCATAAGGTTACCAGTTTGTTACGGGTGTTGTCAATTTTTAGCGTCATCTAAAAGTTGAAGAGGAATGTTTTCTTGTGCTGGAGGGAGATATATTCATGTGCGGTTAGGACAATCAGAACTAGGGTCGCCCACAGAAGCATTGGATTTTTTTAAAATCATTTCACTCCAAGCAAGGCGGGAATGCCACTAGTATGCAGGGGGTGACAGGAAGTGGAAGTGGGAGAAAAGACCGAGTATAAAGAGGATTGAGGCAAAGACAAAAAATGAACAGGATTCAAGAAGACAGAAGATGTCGATTGACGTTGCATTTACATTTTTGAATATTGTAGTTATCAGGGAAGCAAGTAAACGGAAGGGAGTTACACAGGTGGGAAGTGCAAGAAAAGAAACTGTTGGACTAGAAGTGGTGGTTACATTTAGGTATTACAATAGTAAACGGGTAGGACCTAGATGCCAATCTAGTGGCACGTTTAAATTCATATATTTGAGGCACCAGGGGAAAAATCGCCAGAGAAGTTGTCGTGAAAATATTTGTAGAAAAAACAGAGGGAAGCCACGTCATGTTGATGAGAAAGTGACTGAAGACGAGATGCCAGGTCAGGATCTATTATATTGCAGATCCTTTTTGGATTTTGTCAAGAACCTCAAGATGAAGAACAGTAGAACCAGATCAGAGATACTTAGTGTACTTCATTTGTTGTCAGGGATTGCTACTCCTCCTGTTAACAGTAGTACTCTCAATCAGGGCTTCCCAAACGGTGCAGTGTGCCTCATAGGGGTGTTGAAAGAGGATAGCAGGTGAGGCAGAAGGATTGAAAGACAAAGATTTAGAAACAGTTTCTAAAAATTTATATGTCAAAAATAAATTTAAAATATTATTATGGATTATTTGTAATTGCATTCATGAGTCCCAGTAGTTCTTTTCACATGGTGAGCAAGCAGTCCTATGTTTTAGGCTGATAGGGACCACTGTCTTATAGAGACAAGCCTTCTTTGTTCTGTCAGCTTTCATCTAAAAAATATTTCATAAAGAACCCAGGATCAGCCTACCTGGTTCTCAGTCTGCTCCACTCAGCTGATATTTGTCAGGGTTGGTTGACCTTATTCTTGGGGGATCCACGCCATATATCTGGCTTTTTTTGTCAAAACAATAATTGTCAAAACCATTTCTGTAACATCCAGCAGATGTGTCCTTAACAAGATATCAGCTGACAACTGATATCATTCAGATATATACAACCTGGTAACTCGACAATCGTTTAAACAGTATGGTCAATAAACAGCCAATATTTACTCAAATACGTCTCTTTTAATTTTTATGCAATGAACACATGAAAAAATATTTCCTTTGTTGGATAATGATGGCTGATAATTCAAAGAATAGCCATGTGAAAGAAAAGTTTGTTTACCTATGTTTTCTTAAATACCTTTTTAGTAATGTAGTCACATGTTGCTGGATGTCAGGGATGTTATAAAATCATTGTCCTTTCAATTCATTTTCAGATTTTGGAAATAGCCAAAAATCATGGCAGGTGGATGGACCATTTTGTCAGGCAATTCTTAGTCAGGGATTTGCAGATTCCTAAGGCTTCATGAGGAGAAGCATTGTCTTGGTGGAGAATTAACTTTTACAGGTCTTTTCCACTGAATAGATTTTCATAAGCCTTTGCATCTCTGTGTGTCGTTTTGTTTAGCTTCCAACGTCTTGCATCATCGTTGCACATCCCTTCACCCATGCTTGAAACACTTGTGGCACTTAAAAACACTTGATTTCTTTATAGCATGTTCACCATAAACAATAATGACATCCCAGATTTCCAGGAACCAGTTCTATAAAGGCAGATAATCTTTAGCTTATTTTCTTTTCAATCTGAGAATGGAAACAAATTCCTTTATAGTATCAAAAATAATTAAACTATTTTGATAATGTAATAGAAAACATTTACTTATTAAGATATTTCCAGATTGAAATTCTGTTCTCATTATATTTCTGTTCAGAAGTGTGACGTTTTTTGACTCTAGTGTCATCAGCTGTGTTATGGGTTCTTAGTCACATTTGAACTGAATCGCTGTAGTCATAAAGATACAATGGAAGACCTATAAAATTTATGACCAGAAGATTTGCCACAAGATGATTTGACAGAATAAATTATGTTCATCAGAGAAAAACAGCCTCCACAAAACTTACTGCAACGTTCACTAAGCTTTTATAATTTTAAGAATTGGTTCATGTGAACCAGTAAGATGCCCCCCACTGACCATAAGCCATTTTTAATAGGGTTAATGTTTCATGGTTACTTTTTTCACACAAAACATCATGTTAATCCATTCCTCTAGATTCTATTCACTCTCTACTGCCAACAGTAGAGAACATACAATGCTCTCTACTGCTCAGCAATAAATAACTCATCTGATCTGCATCTCAAGAAAACAGAAGTTGGAAAATATATCTAGATCTGCTCAGGTACAGTGTCACCCGGATATAAGAGAGTTGTCGGGACCGGAGAAGAAGTCTCTTATATCCGGGTTTCTCTTATATCCGGAATTGGTCTATTTTGTTTAGGTAAGTATGGGAACACTTTGGGACCAGAGAAAATCTCTCTTACATGCGGGTTTCTCTTATATCCGGGTCTCTTATATCCGGGTTATTTGAGAATTTTAAAAATATGAATATTATAAATCTATGACTACTAGCCTATGTAAAATGAAGATGGTGGCGTATGGGTGGAAGGAATATAGCGATACTTAACAGTTGGAATTTAATAGAATGTTGCAACGGAAAGGCAAGTTTTCAAGCATAAAAAATGCAATTACTGCTTACTGATGATTCCACAGTTTCAATCAAATACACATCAAAAATAATTAATTGACAAGGATGCATCTATGAAATTCACACAACTAAAAACTATTACTACTTGGTATAAAACCAAGCAAAATAAGATGAAAGAAATACTAGTGAAAAATGAATAATAATTAACAATGCTTCATGTAAGAAATTTAGACAACTTAAGACTATTACTACTTGGTGTAAAATCAAGAGAAATAAAATTTAAGAAATACTAGTCAAAATGAATAATAATTGACAAGATTTGATCTAAGACTATTACACTTGATGGAACAAGAGAAATTGAAGACTAATAATACTACTTCTAAGATTCAGGAAAACAAGAGAAATAAGATGAAAGAAATACTAGTCAAAAATGAATAATAATTGAAATATCTAAGAAATTCAGACAACTTAAGACATTACTACTTGGCGTCATCTAAGAAATTCAGACAATTTAAGACTATTACTACTTGGTGGAAAAGCAAAAAATAAGATGAAAGAAATACTATCAAAAATGAATAATAATTGACAAGCGTCATCTAAAAATTCAGACAATTTAAAGACTATTGCAAAATAAAAGCAAGCGAAATAAAAAATGAAATATAATAATAATTGACAAGGCGTCATCTAAGAAATTCAGACAACTTAAGACTATTACTACTTGGTGTAAACGCAAGAGAAATCATCTAAGAAATTCAGACAACTTAAGACTATTACTACTTGATGGAAAAGCAAGAGAAATAAGATGAAAGAAATACTAGTCAAAAATGAATAATAATTGACAAGGCGTCATCTAAGAAATTCAGACAACTTAAGACTATTACTACTTGGTGTAAACGCAAGCGAAATCATCTAAGAAATTCAGACAACTTAAGACTATTACAACTTGGTATAAAAGCAAGCGAAATAAGATGAAAGAAATACTAGTCAAAAATGAATAAGAATTGACAAGGTATCATCTCGGAAATGTAAACTACTTGGTGTAAAATTAGATCAAAGAGAAATAATCATAAATGAATAATACTTCACCTGTAAATTTCAAATACTGTTACTTTAATCTGGATATCAAAAATGTTTTTTCTCTCTGTTCTTTTATATTCTCTTCTTTCTATCACCCTTTCTTTTTTAACTACAGCTCGGTCCAGGCAGTTGGCGCCGTCCACTGTCCATGGGGTATGAAAAAAGCGAGACTCAGGATGAATTTGTCGCCAGAAAAGGAATCAGAGAGCATTATTATTTTGATGACATCTTCAAAAACCGACCATTTCTTCTCAACGATCATCTCCAAGATGGACCAACAAAGGTCAGATAGGAAAAAGTATTTTTTTATTTCTTTACTTACTTAGTTGTCTTCTCTTGCTTCTTCTATGTGCCGTGTCTCTTCAGGATGTTGGCGATCATGGTCCTCCAAATCTTCCTGTCCCTTGTAACTCTTAATAAATTTTGTCTTCTGTCATCTCTCCCAAACCCTGCTCCACCAAGCATTTACACAAACCCCTTCTTCTATGTGCCATGTCCCTTCAGGGTGTAGATGATCATGGCTCTCCACAATTTCCTGACCTTTGTAGCTCTTAATAAATTTGATATTTCTACCATCTCTCCCAAATCCTGCTCTGCTATCCCATTTCACAAGCTTGCCAGATAGGTTATACATTGCATTCCTCTGTCACTCTTACCTTCAATCTTTCATGTGAGTATCAAATTTTCCAAGCCCTCTTTCTTTATTATGTATCCTAGAAACCTCAACTGCCTCTTCCGTATGTTAAGTATAAGTGTTCTTTTTGCTGCCATTCATCTTTGCTCACATGTTTGGTCCATTGTATCCTTAGCATCCTTCTGTAGAACCACATTTCTGTTACTTCAAGTCTCTTCTTAATCTGTGAGGAGATTGTCCAGCATCCACTGCTATATAGGACTGATATTACAAAACAATACTCTCTTTTTCTAACAATATTTTCCTTTCGTATCTACTATCAATAAATGTGATGTTTCATATATATTTCCAAAGTTATCTTACTACCATCAGATCCACTATTGATTCTGGTACATTGAAGAACATTGTCTATATTAGGATGATGCTATCTCCACATGAGATAGATTGTAAATTCACAGGACTTGTTAGAATGTTTTATATATATATATATATATATATATATATATATATATATATATATATATATATATTTTTATAAAATTTGGTCAGAGTTGAATTAAACAAATAAAAACAGTGGTATTAAAAGTGTTCAATACACATAAATAAGATGAAATTAAATTAAAAAAATTAACATGCAGAGCTTTTAAATTTAAAAAATTAAGAGATCATCTTTTAGCCCGAATTGCCTGCAAATACTGAAATACTGACAACATTTTTTTCTGTTTTCCACAACTGATATTTTTGAGAATACATTGTCTCTTTCTTATCGGCAGAAAGTGGGAAAAGACGGGTTGTCTTGAATTTGCTCAATTTTACGGAATTCTGTCTAGTTAAATTTGAGTTTCATTATCTTTGGAAGTGTTCAGGAATTCATTTTATTATTTTAAAACATGATTTTTCAATGCATTTTATTTTTAATTTTCTCTTCAACTTTTCAATCCACTTTCTGGCGAATTTCAACAATTATCATCTCTTTTCTCTTCTTTTTTCTTTCTTTTCTTTTTTGTTTCATTAACCTTCTGAGGTCCTAATGTCACACACATACATACACATATATATACAAACACACGCACACATATATAATAATAATAATAGCTGGCCACTCATATTCAAGGATACCCGTCTATTAGGGTGGCTAGCCAATTCCTATTGCATATTCTCGCTCAGGTGCGTTTGTGTTTGTTCAATACCCACAGAGCCAACCCGTGGTGTATACTGCATCTATGTTGAGCAGACCTTAGTTACAGTTTCTGGGAGAGAGCTTGTTACCTAGAATGATCAACAATCTGAACAACACCAGCACACTCAAACTCTCTGTCACGCTGACTTGTGACTTTGTGGTAACACAGCTATCGACAGCCCCAAGTGTTCTGTTTACCCATTTGCACACACTAGGTTTGGGTCAACCTGTGGTATAGTTTTCGGGCACTTTCCACCTCTACACTGATAACATCCGGAAGTCTCCTTTCTCACAAATCGACCATGGTAAGATCCGAACCCGGGTCAGAAAGCGAACGTTCTAACCACTCGGCCACATATACATATTCATACAAGGAAAACTCTGAATTACAAACCGTCAAGAGAGAAACGGGAAACCACTCTAGGATCTTTCCCAAGAAGTCATGGAAATTCACAGAAAATAAGGTAAAGGAATCTGTGGAGAGCCATGACCATGAATGGATATGGCATTTGAAAAATTCATTAAAAAACGAATCGAATTGTTTACATCACAAATTCGGTCTGTTCCATTTCTTACCCTCATAGAACACATTGTTGCTTTTCTTCCTTTTTAGCTATTATTAGGCATTGTGTGTGTGTGTGTGTGTGTGTGAGAGAGAGAGAGAGAGAGAGAGTTTAGTCATCTGGGAGAGTAGGTTTGGTGTTAGTGTTTCTACTTACCAATTGGTGGAAAGGAGGAAAAAGAGACATCGGAAGATATGTTTGTCCACTTATAGTACTTAAACAGTGCCACCTAACGGCCTCTTGACAAATCAAGTGGGGGTAATCCCTACATGGTTCAGAATTATTTCTCTTAAATAAAGAATAAATGGATACATACTTTTATTAATTTATGTAAATTTTTGCTCTTTAAGTAAAAATGTATATATCCGTTTGTTCTTTATTTAAAAAGAAATATTTTTTGTAAGTACTCCCCCATCCAAAATCCAATAACTCTGTAAAAGTCAAAAATCGATTTGACCCTCTATCAATATTCTAAATGAATAAAAATAACAATATTTTCGTTTCTGACATTTGTCGTGGCCTAATGAAGGATTAAATTGAATCTTATTTCCAATTTTAAAAAATTCTCTTTAAGTATTGCCCAATGTTCATTATATGAAATGATCTACAGAACTTTCTCCTTCATTATGAAATGAGGGATTTATCGAATTTAAGGAACCCTCCCATACATACAATTCGAGGCTTTATTCCATTACATTTTGGATGAGTGACTGAGAAATTTGAATAAATTCTTTCAATTTCTGTTTCTATTTCCCAAATTTGTATTAATTCACATGAAAAAGATTCTAAAGAAAAACAGTTGGATGCCATCATTTTTTTAATTACAAATATTTTTTTTTTTTGCAGTATGGAAGCGCATCGACGATAAATCCAAAATTGAGTGGCAAAATTATTGATCCAATGAACATGGGTATTTTGGATATGAATGAGCCTTACTTGACCACATATCGGATTGTCCATCGTCCTTTCACACCACAGGAAAAGGACTTTAGCAAAAATGCCTCAGTTGACAAGTAAGTATCCCTTTTTAACTATTGTCAATACAGATCTTTTGGGGAACGGCCGTTCCCATAAAGTTATAAAAAAGTCGTCTCTTAAAAAGTAAACATTCTTTTTATGAAACTTAAATTTTTCTTCTACGAAATTCTTAAAATTTTGTAGCTTTTAAAACGGATTTTCATCTTAATTTACTTTAAAAAAAAATGAACAAACTTTTATTTGAAGTTTCTTGAAATAAAATTTTTTCACACAAAAGTTTGTATTTCCGTCAAAAATTGTATTTAATTGCATCTTCTAATGACCATAACTACTTGGAATCCAAAACATCGCTTGAGGAAGAAACTGCCACCCAATGGTTAAGGTTTAATATTGGAATTAAACTTAAATACTGTTCACCAGTTTCAAAACATAGTAATTTCTGTGTCACGATGGAATCATTTTTTTTTTTAAAATAATTATAATCTAGGCTCTACTTCTGTATCGAGCACTGTTTTTTAAAAATAAAAACAAAAATACTAAAGAACTTCGGATCATCAATCTAACAGTTCTTTCCTGTTATACACACACACGCACACACACACACACATATATATATATATATATATATATATATATATATATATATATATTTGTAGTGAAATCAACAGCAATGCATTTTATGATCTACAACTACCCTGAAAGTATAAAACTATGTACAAAATATTTAGATTTCGGCATTAAACAACCCATAGAGCTGTTGATATGCCACTAAACGAAATCAACCAACCAACGAACACGTATATGTACAAATGCTGAGTATCGTCTACCTTGTGAAAGCAGAATAACATATATCACATTTTTATTAATTCAAAGCATCCAAAGAAATTAAATTTCGACCTTAAAGGACCCATAAAGAGTTCAGTCATTTTTGTACCATCGAAGCAAACGTGAAACAGTTTTCACATGGCAACATTGTATTAAATTTTCATATGTTGCTTGAAGTCGGTAATTGGCCATGTAATTTCTCAAACACTTGTTATTGAATTGCTCTACCTGGACCCATCTGTGCTAATCATCTACTTTGATGAGGCGTAAAGAAATAGTAATTTTAACCAGCCGACGACCTACTTTTTATTTTGGTCGACAGGCTCACAAGCGTTCACAAATAATCATATTTATTATATTGTTTATTAGAATGGTTGGCAAAACATCAGCTAATTGCCAATTGATTCAAACTTTATAAAATGGTAAATAATAAAGATTTCTTATAGTTCATTCACAAATTTTAATAACTTAGTGTTTATAAATTTATGAATAATTTTTTTTAATATTTATTTCTTTATAAATTGGTAATTGATAAATATTGCCTTGCATTAGTTTTAATTTAATTAATTTTTAGAATGTTGTAAATATATAATTATTCTTGTAAAATAATCTAGTAAATAAATAATGTTTAATGTTTTTTACTGTAGTTTCTCAAGAACAAAAAATGTATAAATTGGCTTGCAACATATTTTATTTTATTTCTAACCATTGCTTTTTAAAACAATAAATATTGCCAGGGGAGCGACGGTAGTTAAAATAATAGTGGTGTCAAGGGAAAAACCGATCTTTTGAAACTCCTTATTTTTGCAAGCACGAATTTTTGCCAGAAGTTCTCAGGCAAACTAGTGGGATAATATTGCCCTTTCTTCTTATTGTCCTTGCATTTGCACCTAAGGGTCTGAAGTTTTCAAAATTTCTTATATGAAAAACTGCCAATATTTATTAATTCTCAATGAGAATTTCTTTCGGCTTTAATTTCAGTTCCTCCTCAGACTTGAATTCTACAGTAATTAGTAATTATTTTGTTGTGAATTTCAAAGATATGTCGTAATCCTTGTAAATTTCCTCATTCTGATTAATTTACTCATCTTTGTCATTTTTATCACAACATTTCAGCTGCTATACTCTCGGGCCATCATCAGGTGTCTCTGGTCTTTAAAATTATCAAGCCTTGATTTATGGAAGCATGCATCACTACTAATAGTGGAAACTGCTCTCTCCTGGACCCTTTGACCTTCCAGTTTTTGGTTGGTTGACTTTGTTTAGCGGCATATCAACTTCTATAGGTTATAACGTGAGATTGCTATGGAAGACAGATTTATTTTCCTATTTGAATTTCCCCCATTATGGGCATTATTATATCTATGATATAATAACACCGTAGTTCACAGATGGAACGGAATGTCTGAAAGAAAAAAGAATGACAAATATACTTTGTTCTCAGACTTTTATAATGCCACGTCGTACACAAAAGTTATATATATATATATATATATATATATATATATATATATATATATATATATTAATACACGTGTTCCACGCAGAGAATTTATAACATATGCACCAGCAAAAGGTGCGTAAGAAAGGGGAAATTTTCTTGTAATATTTCCCGAAGGGAAAACTGGAGTTACTGCGGTTTCCCTACGAACTTGGTTAGGCTATGTTTTTTCTTTCCTGCAATGCCTACCGCCGTAGGCTAGGAACGTCTTTATTCTCTGGGCTCTACATAGCAACTATCCTTCGTCACTTGCCAGTCGTTATATGACTCTTGTGACTATCTCAACGAAAAGGATAGAATCGCCGTTTGTATCCTTATAGGGTTATTTAATGCCGAAATCTGACTATTTCGTACGTAATTTTATGCTTTCAACTACGAATATTTTGTATATAATTTTTATACTTTCAGGGGAAAAGGTATGTTTCGTTTTTAAAGATATAGTTTGTAGATCATAAAATGTATTATTAGTAATTTTACTATAAAAATGTATTTCTATATTTTTTAGCGTTTTGCAATGATTGCCATACTATAAAAATGTAATGTTGCTCATTTTATTATAAAAATTTACTGTTGATTTTTGTTTGGGGGGGGGCACTATTTGCCTATACCTGGGACCCTAACAGGTGCTACCACCCCAGGTTCAGATGGACCTGAGAACAACAGTAGTTAAGAGGTGTTTCCAGAGGTTTTGTTGCTGGATGTAGTTTATCGTCATAACCATGACGAGACCTTCCAATGAACTAATCAGATTACAGCAATTTAATTTTAGGGACTCATGTTTTAATGATGATTTTATTTTAATTTTAGGGACTCATGTTTTAATGATGATTTTATTTTAATTTTATGGACTCATGTTTTAATGATGATTTTTTGGAACCTCAGATTTTTTAATTTGTTCTTCTTTGTGAAACCAATAGTTTCAATATACTATTGGTATCTACTGACTGCATGGTTTGAAAATAACATATGTGCTGATTCTTTCAACTCTCATGTTTTCCAATGTTATTTGTTGTCTTCATTCTAGAGATTTTGTTTGCTAGTTTCTCTCCGTTTACATTTTAAATTTCATATTTGGATCTATGACACCTGATGAAGACAGAGTATCGTGGTTGAAAGGCCGTGTGATAAGATGAGAAAATTAATCAGAATATATAATGATCATCTGCTGTTCTTGTTCTTCTTTCAGGGAATTTCTGAAGAATCCTGTTGCCAGAACACTCCAGCCGATGAGGGACGTCGTCAAATTCAAATTTCACACAATCATTCCACCATTGTCAAAAACCGTCATACACGTACCACACAGGTTTGTTGCCAGAGGTGGAAAGTTGGCTAAATTATTTTTCTTTGATTTAAAAAAAAATTTTCTTGACTTTTTAAAAATTTTCTGTTCAGCGTTTGCATATGGAATAATCAACGCCATCATAGAACAGTTTGCAAGGACCTCCCACGATAACTGCTATCAAACCGCATTTCTTTGCCTGCTTTGGGTGCCTACTTTTTAAAAATTTCCTTAAATATTTTTTGTCTCAAATACAGAATATTTGTATATTAAAAAATATAGATGTTTTAAATATAGTGAAAAGTATGATAATGACATTCTTATATATAATCTACATATAATCACTAGAGTAGCTAACTAATCCCAGTTGCAGAAGCCTGCTCAGGCACATTTGTGTTTCTTCACGGCCCACATAACCAACCTATAATTTATACTACAACTATGCTGAGCAGACCTTACTTACAGTTTCTGGGAGAGAGCACATAATCTGACATTATCAGCAATTGAACAAGGCCAGTACACACACACACACACTCAGTCATGATGACTTGTTAGCACAATGACCCTGAACACTTTTGACTACTCGTTTTCATGTACACACAACTGCTAGGATAGCTAAATAATTCCTGTTGCAAACACCAGTTAAGTTTCCATTCACTTTCAAACTAACACTTTTAAAAAGGCATGTATCTATCATTTCTTTCCCCAGTTATGGGTTAAATATCAAAGCAGACTAGACTCTCTAGACTTCGTTGGCAACCATTCTAGCAGGACAATACTAGATTTAAAACTTTCAAGAAAACAAGAGGAAACCACTCCACTATCTTTCTCAAAACTTGATGGCAATTCACATGTACTAAAGAAAAATGTGGAAAATCGTGATCACCCACATTCTAAGGGAGATGGAAAATCATGATCACCCACATTCTAAGGGAGATGGAAAATCATGATCACCCACATTCTAAGGGAGATGGAAAATCATGATCACCCAATTCTAAGGGAGATGAAAATCCTGATCACCCAAATTCTAAGGGAGATGGAAAATCATGATCACCCACATTCTAAGGGAGATGGAAAATCATGGAAAATTCTAAGGGGAGATGGAAAATCATGATCACCCACATTCTAAGGGAGATGGAAAATCATGATCACCCACATTCTAAGGGAGATGGAAAATCATGATCACCCACATTCTAAGAGAGATGGAAAATGATGATCACCCACATTCTAAGGGAGATGGAAAATCATGATCACCCACATTCTAAGGGAGATGGAAAATCATGATCACCCACATTCTAAGGGAGATGGAAAATCATGATCACCCACATTCTAAGGGAGAGAATGTGAAAATACAGGAAGAGTAGAGGCATGAGATAATGGATACCATTAGTTGCCAAAGCCTCTAGAATTTCCATGATTTAATTTTGTATATATGACTAGCGATATAACCCGTCTTTGACCGGGTCTTTTATTACTGGGAATTTTTGCTGTTCAGTTGGAGCAGTTTAAATTTAAAGGCAGCCCACCCAAAAATCATTATTAGTAAAAATAATTGGGTGCAACTGAAGTACATACCCAAATGTGGAGGTTAACAATTTGGATTGGGAGGGTAGCCCTGAATAGGGCCATTTTTGTGTTCAAACTTGTTTCAGCCTAACACGCAGCAGCAGCTGAAGAGGAGTTTCTCCTCGGCCATTGATTAGCAGTTTCATCTATGAAAAAGTAAATTAAATTTTGCCTTTGATTTTTGCGCAAAGTATAAAAAATCAGTTTTTTCAATTTTTCATCTTCAAGGTTGTAAATTTTTCCAGCCAATTTGAACTATCAAAACAAAAATCAGCCTTATTTTCTCAGTGTTCCAAGTATAAAAAGGAAGTTCCACTTGGACAGTTTTTTCCCCAATAACTGTTAATTTGTGGAATAGATTCCTGCAAGGACACTTCCCTAAATGCTTCAAGCTTAGGGTCAATAATCTTCTATCCTCCTCATAATCTCCACTTCCTACCAACTTCTCTTCCTTTCATATCACACACCCCACTCATCATTACTATGTCAAATGTGACACTCTACAATAAGTGGCTCACGAGCCTTCTATTAGGTGAGATTTATTGTAAAAAATTAGAAAGTAGTGGAAAGAAATTCTTTTAATGTCAATATTTACCAACTGTAGCAAAACAAAGGACGGTATGTTTTGCCGATTTTTTGAAGTGTTAAGTGGCTGAATATATATATATATATATATTTTGGGCAACAGCCTTTTTTTCAAACATGTTTTGCTGAATATGATAGACAAGGAAAAATTTTTTAAGGAGTTTATCTATATCTGTCTATATTTCTGGGATGTGGTATTGTAACTATTTATACTATTTACATTGTTTGGACATCTATGCAAATGTCATCGAGCCAATCTTCAGAAATTCCAACATATAGGGTGACTATTCTGGCTTCAGTTCAAAATTCAAAAAATATCACCTGAAGAAAACTGGAGCATGCAACAGCTGAAACAATGTAAATGAGTTTTTCTAGCATTCTTAAATTCTTCCGTTTGGTAGAGATAAATGTGTGTAAAAATTATCCATCATGTCTATTATCCCAAGTGCTTTCAGCCACTTATTTAACCATTTTCAAAGGGTTTGTTGTTAACTGTTATTAATTTCTTTTCATTGCTATCTTTTAAGATGTAATTGTGTGATGCGTACTCTATGATAATAGCATTTATTCCAAGCCCTGCAAAACGAATGCGGCTGAAATTCAAATTGGTGTCCTTGTGTTTAAAAAAACATTTAGCACATTGTTTCCACTGTTATAAGTGTGTGTGTGTGTGTGTGTGTGTGTGTGTGTGTGTGTGTGTGTGTGTGTGTGTGTGTGTGTGTGTGTTGGCCACTTGTATTTGATGAGGATGCCCATCTACTAGGGTGGCTAGTTAATCCATATTGCAGACGCCTGCTCAGGCATATTTGCGTTTGTTCAACACCCTCGGAGCCCACCTATGATTTATCGTGCAACTATGCTGAGCAGACCTCACTTACAGTTTCTTGGTGAGAGCGCATTATCTAGCATGATCAACAGTGTGAACAAGGCCAGCCCACTCAAACCCTCGGTCACGATGACTTGTGACTTTGTGCTAGCACAACCATCATTCTAAATGGTTCTGTCTATTCAATTTCATTCACAAGGCTTAGGACAAGCTATGGAATGGCTTTCAGAAACTCTCCAAAGGAACAGAAATTTCAAGAAAGCAGATCGCTAGTAGTTTTAGTAGAGTACTGACGTTTTGTCTTTAGAGCCCAGTATGTAGATGACTTCTTTGAAACAGGTTCCAAAGATGGCTGGTGTTATTGTCACCGACCTGATGTTATCACAAATGATGTCATATACACACTGCCAAAGTAGCGCATAATCGAGATTAGAAGGCTTAGAAATATTGGAAACATTTGTTGGGGACGTGCAGAGTTTATTATTTATGTTAGAAAGAATCAGAAGGATTTTTGAGTAGGTTGCGTGACTTTCTGCATCCCAAACAAATAAATAAACGAAATTTAAAATACAATTGAAAAATGAGACATACTCAATTAGAAATCAATACAACATTTATATACAATTCAAAGATATATACAACAGAATAATTGATGTATGTTATGTTGGCGAAATGTGTATGAGGTTTTTAGATTTCAGAATGTCTCTCTTTGTAATTGTTCATTCGTTTACAGTCTTTTTTGTTTGTGTTGATATTTGTAATTTGTCGATATTGAGTGTCTTTTTAGAAAGAGTTTTTGAGAGTGATCTACCTTTAACTGTAATGTAATGTCTTTCTAAGATCGTTCGTTCGTTCGTTTTTCACGAAATAGATAGTGAATATGATTCAAAGCTTAAGATAAGTAATAATGAGAATTGATGTTCACAGAAATCGATTAAGTTTCGATCGGGTATAGTCAGAGAAGATGTATCTTTTTAAGGCAAAATCGTGATTCTTAGTGACGTGGAGTATTTGGGAAGTTTTCTGTGTGCGTTTGATACTGACTGCCTGTGATGATCCTCGTTTTAAACTTTTAATTTATAAGGTCTGAAATTCCAAAGGTGGCTCACTTGAGTTTTGGCGCAATTTCCATTCTGCATGTGAACTGAAAGCCCAACCAATGAGATTGTTTGTTTTGCTTTGTGCAATTTTTATTGGTTGAAGTTTTTAGTACGTAGGCGTAAGATATGGACTGTGAATACTGAAGGTATGAAAAATAGGACGAGTCTACATTTACTCAAAATTCCAGAATTCCCTAACCCTCTTTGATAAGAAAGTGTTTTTTTGGAAAATCCAACAAGTTGTGAACTTTGAAATGACTTTTTACATCATGGTTATAATGGTCAAATTATTTTTTTATATCTTCCAGATTTGTTTGTCATTTCTGATAAGGCTTTGGGAACTGGTTTTGGAAGCAAAAAGGTAAATTGGGAATTGGTTTTTGGAAATTAAATACTAATCAAATTTCATATTTTATTTAATCCTTTAAATTTTAAATTCATTTTTTTTGGTTCAGGATGGAGTTTGTAAACAAAACAATTTTATAATACAAATTATTGTTTTATTATAATAAATTCTCTTTTTGTCCCCCCTAATATATATATATTATATATATAAAATGCTCTTATATAAAAGGCTATTTACACAATATTCCATGGTTATAATTTATTATATTTTATCGTAATCATTCCATATATTATAATACAATCTGGACTTTAAAAATGACACATTTCTGGATGCCTCTAAATAGTTTTAAAACAAAATGTTATTTACATTTATTTTTTAATATTAAAAGTTTCTAGAAAAGTCTCTAGTCCCTTTCAGCCAACATCTCATCAGGAGACAATCGTTGGATTAGCGAAATGAATAATAGCGATATTGAAGAGCAAAAAGAGGGGAAACACACTAAAATAACGAACAAGTATATATATATTTGTAACGAGGGAAGGGTTATCGTGTAAATAAATAGCGAGGGACAGTTAAAATAA